AGCGATGGCCTCCAACCTACTAGAGATGCTACCAGCGATGGCCTCCAACCTACACGTTGAACCTCTTGAGTGCCAAGGCCAATGCTGTTGCCTGGGAGACCGGTGTGCCGTGCCCCAGCACAGGCAGGGAGAGATGCGAGAGAAAGGGAGGGTTTTTGATTTCTCAACATATATACAAATCCACTGCCTTCTGAGAAAACAGGGAGCCTCCAGCTGCCCACCAGTACTTTCAATACTTTTCGAGGGCTTGCGGATCTCTCTGATGGTTAAATCTGTGCTTCATGAGAGACGTGCACGGTCCGTGGTCTGTTCAGGCGACTCCTGCTTCATTGGCTTCCAATGGCTCACTGACCAGGCAGGGTCTCACCAGATGGCTGCCTAGTCGTTGGCCTGTGCAAACACGACCTGGGCGGTGTGTGGAGACTGTCCATGGATCGATTTTGGAAATAGCAGAGGTAGGAAGGCAGACAGTTTTCCACTGCTCTTTTGGATCTGACTAACCTAACGTTAGCTAGAACAAGGACTACTTTCTTGGCCGAAACGATTTTTTGCGCAGCTCAGCGTGGGCATCAAGTCTGGGAGTAGCTATATATGACACTCAGTCACATGTTGAGATTCAGCAATGGTAGGGCTTCTAATGGCACAACCAATTGCGACACAGTTTGGATGTGTAGAGTCAAGTCCAAAGGGCTGAACCGGGGATTATTTCTTCAGATGGCCTCCACCCGAGTAGCGATGGCCTCCACCACTCCACCCTAATTCTATTTGTGGACAGTCTTTTTGGGTGCTTGTTGAGACAATGGCCACCACCGGTGGCGGTTATGCGAGCAGCCATGTGACCTTCTGCGATGGATACTCCATGCATCAACTGACGCAGCAGCTTGGGGAACGCGTGGCCAAAGAAACTCAGCGGACGGGTGATGGGCCTTATCCCCTTAACTTCATTTGCTCTCTAAACTCACAATCTCCTTCAATTTCTTCACAGGCTGGGCGCTGGGTGAGAGGTATGGACATTCGGCTCAACTCAGTGCCCCTAAGTAGATGAAGCCCTCCTGTCCAACGATGCCTTTGGACTATACCTTTTGAGTGTTGCAAATCCATGCAAATCCCAATGACTGAGTGGTTTCTTTTTCCACACTCCACCAGAAGCACAATGGAAAAGACCCACATTCTTTTCCCTGTTCGGAACACCTTGTTGCGATCTCTTGTGTTGGTTTTTTGGACTCCAGAGGGGTGGATGCTCGCTGGAGGTCGGTGCGACGTTTACCGCGTGGGTTCACCCGAGGAAATGGCCCACCCAGTCAGCACTGGCCTCCAAGCCAGCTAGCCAAGGGAACCTCTAGTAGCCCACCCTGGCCGCCCACCACCCTGTAGCGAGCGATGGCCACCCAGGAAATCGTGAAGAAGAATCCGGAGAAGTCGGACCGCATCACCTTCCGTGGCTCTCCATGTGTTTCCTGGTCAAAAGGTCGAAGCCGCTGGAGAGGGGTACCGAGTGGGAAAGGGGTGGGAGGTGGAGGTTGGGGCCCAGGACACGCGGCCGGAGATTCGAGGTTTCGAAGCATATCAAATCAAGGGTTTTACAGCGAACTGAACCAGAAACAAACCATCTTTTCAGATGATCCGGATAAGAATCTGCGGAAGAAATCGCTTCGCCGGACTGAACGATTTCCGAGTCTCAGACCTCCCCTTAGCCAGGCCGAGCTGGGATTTACTGAACTGTGTGATGTCGATGTCTAAGTGAAAGCAGTCTTTGAACGGAGATAAACCACAGTCCTCACCACCTGAGTTGTGTTCTTGTTTCTGCGAATTTAGTCTCGTTAGTGCTTCAGGATGCATTCCAGAAAGGCAAAATGGCCGTGGTCAGTTTCCCTGGAGTTCATGGGTGCGGCTGGAACGAACTCACTCGCGTGTCCTGCAAGCACGGCAGCAAACTAGTGACAAGCTGCGTCTTCCTGCCAGATGGCAATGCTCCTGGCTATGGCGAACATGTGCCATACAAAAAGGGTTGCCACTGCGACCTGGAATTTGCTGATGATATTCTTTTTCATGGATTAGCGTGTTGAAGTAATAATGCAAAAGTATGAACCCTGAAGATTGCAATGTAGAGGCCTTTTTCGAGATTATGTTTCATTGTTTCATCATTTCATCTATAGGCCAGTGATCACATGGGGTTGTGCCTTTTTGTCCTGACACCAGTGAGGCAGTAAGTTCAAATTGTTTCCCATTTACCATGCATGTTGCAATCACTCTGCCACTTTATGCCTATACTTTGAGCATACGTGCAGTAGGTGTTTCCACACATTCTAAGGCCACCACCTCTACGGCAGCCCTCAGATCTGGGGCTGTGCTTGGTATAAGGAGTGGATGGAGCAAACACGCGCGGCACACCGCGCTGGCTGCGAACTGGTGGTGGTGCGGCAGATGGATGGAAGCCTTGGTACCTCCCAGCAAGGAGAGGTCCGGTTTTTGGACAGCGTGGCTCGCCCAATTTTGAACCGCTGAACTCCGAGCGCTTCGCGACTTATATCGACTGAAGCCCTTGACGACGAACAGGGCAACAGAGTTTGATAGACCCAGAGAGCTTTCCTGAGACACTTAATTATACAAACATTGCATGCATATATGATCATATGAATCAATATGAATCATTGATCATATACGCATAATATGCTGTATATCTCCAGAATTTATGGAATCCGAAAAGATGCAGAACCAGAGCGGGGTCTGGTCCTTCTGCCGAATGTTAGGCTTTAGATGAACGGTCCTCCCAGTTAGTGAGCCTTCTGCCAGTCTGATTTAGGGGTTGAGTGTAGCATAGCTTGTCATGCCTGGCGGAGCCTCTAGAAAAGCTGCTGACTGAGGAGAACATGCCCTACAGCGAAATGAAGATCGATGAGCTTCTTTGGATTGTAGGGAAAGCAACATGTTGGGTCAACGGGGGGGGTTAGCCCCGCCCGTAACATGTGGTCTGGTTTTTTCGGGTTTGCGGGGGGGTGAGGGGGGGTGGGGTCAGTTTCATCCTGGTTACGACTCGCGTACATCGTCTACGTACTTCATTGGTCCACCCGGTTCCTTGTAGGTTCGCTTGGTCACGATTCGTTCGCTGGACGACCCGCTTGTCTCGGCTTACAGGACATGACGGGTTCTACTTTGGAGGTTTGTTTGTGTTTGTCGTTGGTTCTGTTGTTGCGTTTTGTCGGTTTGAGGTGCCCTTCCCCCAATGAGCATTTGAAGGTTTTTTTACGGCCGACCCCTTTCTTTTGGACGCTCACATAGACGTTTGTACCCGTGCCTCAGATCCGACTATCTCTTTTGTTCAGGAGGTTGCATTGTTAAACTGTCGTTCTCCGTTACGGTTTGACCGTCTCGTCGCTTTTCGTTTGGTTTTGTTTGAGGTTTGGACTTCTCACTTTCATCGACACCATATGTCTTTTACGCCTGTGATGTGGAGTGCATTATGGGTTCTTTCCAGGCGTTTGTTGCAAATTAGAGATGTTCAACTAAACAGACATGTCAATGTCCAGCATTCTAGTACTAGACAGCCTCCCATGGACACGCCATGCGTGACTCCCGCGATGGACACGTCGGATCCGGAGCCTCGCGAGCATACGCCCCGGCGGACGACACAGACGACCATGCCCGTGCTGGACTCACCCGAGCTCGCGTCCAAGCGACGTGAGTTGCAACCTTTGATAGATCTGACGGAGTCTCCGCAACCTTTGATAGATCTGATGTTCTGTCTTGGCCGGAGAAGAAATGCTTTTCCATTCTAAAGAAGGCTGGTGTGTTAGGAGATCGGCGCAACAGACGTTGTTGGGTGTGCAAAGCTGCAATGGTTCCAGAGTCGCAGACACAAGCTTACAGATGTGTCAACCGACAATGTTCGGGCCAGAGACCACGTCTTTACTCCTGGCAATTCTCCTTCACTCCCTTTTGGAGGACGTCTCAGAGGAGGTCATCCCAAGGACTGCAAAGCCTTTGTCTGTGCTGCGTACTTGTGTTCCTTGAAGTGCCCTCAGGATTCATCATGGCATGTGCTGGGTCGCTCACAAGACTACACTGACTTGACTTTTTGACAGCTACGTGTGTGCGCTGCCTTTGCACAACTGCAGGAGAGTAAAGCCATGTGCTTGGACCCTGGGATGGTGGACATCGACGGTACGAGAACTTTTGGCAAGTCGAAGACTTTTGACAAGAGGACTTTGACTGCCAAAGCCAAGTCCCAATTGCGCAAGAAGCCATCAACGCGATCTGGAAAGCCTGTTTCGAAGAAGCCAGCCTCCATGATCCACGCAGGCCGCTTCTTGTTGCTGAAGCATAGAACAAGTGGTCAGCAAGCAGTTCTGCCGTTGCCAGACCGGAAGACCAAGAGAGACGCACTGGGACCGCCTGAGAGCAAGGATGAAGTGTTGCCACTCTTGAAGACGAAGCTCTGCAGCACCAAACACATCGTGGGCAGTGACGCTTCGAAGGGCCTTCAAGGTGCTATGAAGGAGATGAACTTGACAGCGGCGCGTCACTCCCAGAGCGAGTACACGCCAACTGTGACTCTGAGCAAACGACACCTTCCAAAGAAGGCCCTGCAAGCGTTGAAGCAAGGTAGCTCCATCCGTTCCTCTTCTTCTGCCAGACCCATGCTGCTCGAGAAACAGAGCAAAGTTACGGTCGTTGGTGGAGACCAAGGTACAGAAAGCTTGGCAGCAGTGATGAAAAAATCACTGCGTAGAATGTTTTTGCTTGGCCGTTGCGACGCGAAGCTGCAACGCCAGCACGTTGAAGGCCTCGCAGCGTTGTGGTTCAGCCAACATCCGGGGTTGGACGCAATGCTCGAGGCTGTCAGGATACATAGAGAAGCTGTGCAAGACACTTGTCCGCCAGCTGCCATGTATACTGAGCTGAAATGGCTCCACTGGGACCAAGACTAATGCCTAGCAGGTGGAAAATCACTTTCGCGCCATGGACAAGGAGCAGGCGGGTCGGTGAATACGTCCGTCAAAATGCATTCAACTTATCGTCTTGCAACTCATGAGTTGCAAGACGATAAGTTGAGTGTCCGGAAAGCCACTTTACCCTGTAAAAAAAAGGTTTTTTGACCCTCGGTGCGTTGCGTCCGGGGCTAACCCCCCCCGTTTACCCAACATGTTGTATGGTTCTTCAATCTTCCGGTAAACTCTTTCCTCGCGCTTGCGGACTTCTCCGAAAACAATGAACGTGCGAAGTTGTCCAGAAAATATGCTTATTTTTTCACCTGCGGGATCAATGACTTCAGGTTCGCTGCTGAGGTGGTGAACAAACCTGTTGAAGTGGGCCATCGTGAGTCGACGAACACTCGCCCTCCGCGGCGGCGCATCTCCACTTGCTTTGGTCGGATGGCATACTCCAACGATTTGCTCCGATGCCCATCTGAGACACGACCCCATCTCTTACGACCTCATTCGATTGAATGAGAATCCCCGCACACCTTGTCAATCAGGAAACGATGTGAAGGAACTCCCGAAGGCTGGCGGAGAGAACTCTGATTTGTGTTCCAATCCTGAGACGAAACCAGAGTTTCTTGGAGCCCATGGAGCTAGTGGAGCTGTTCTTGAAAGAGCTCCTGTACGGACCCATGGACCCACGGTTGTTTGGGTTCAGTGACTCGGGTTCCTGTGGCTTTGTGGGAGTGTACAGTCTGAAACCCACCTCTTTGACCAAGGGCAAGGCTTGCCAAAGGCAGTGCGGACGGCTTTGCACCTTGATCGACAGCAGGCCTGGCTAAGTCCAGGCACAGAACGACAGGGAAAAGGGGATGGCCATGGCGATCTGAGGGCGATCTGCGCGATTGAGGTTCCATACCTTGGAGGATTCCCCATATCATACCGGCCCATGGCCCATGTACAGTAAATTTACTGAACCCTCAACAGCCGGTCTTGGCACCCCAACATGTGGTGGTTTCCGTGCACCTATCTGGGTAGATGAGAAGATAGCAAAAGCGTAAACCGTTGACAGGTGTCCACCGTGTGCCGTTTTCAGATGGCGGGGATTCGAGCCAAGATCTGAGGTGACCATTGATTGGGTATAGCAGCATAGCCTAAACAAACGCCAGAAGCAAAAGATGCTCCATGCCGAGTACGCCCAGCGCAAGGTCGACACGGCGGGTGGCTTTGCCACAGTGGGTTTGGAAAGCCCAGCTGGGCAAAGCTGCATGGGCTGTTGAAGACCTGGAAATGCCCAGAAACACCAGTACACTCCGGTATTTTGGAACGCTACTAGGGTGGAGGCCATCGCTCTTAAGGTTGGAGGCCTTTGCTACTAAGGTGGAAGCCATCGAGGCTCAAGTTGTTCAATGAGGAAAAACTCAGGGGTAGCGATGGCCTCCAACCCACCAGCGATGGCCTCCAGCCTAGTAGCGAACTCTCAGGAACTTGCTTTTTGGGGGTTCCCACAAAAGTGGAATCATAACAGAACAACCCTGCCACTCGGTGACCGACCCAGCGCACATGAAGAAGGGCGGTGTTTCATCTGGACATCCATAAACATCCATGGACATCCACGTAGAATGCGACATAGGTCACCTTCCACTTGGGATGCCAGGCAGTTTGGTGCTTAGTTCTTTTTTTCTTTTGAGGTCTTCCAGGCTTGGGTTGACACAAGGGAGACTCACGTTGCTCATCCCTTTGCTCGGTAGATCTGCACGTTCTCCGAGGCATCCTGCAGAGGGGCTCCGAGGCTCCGCAATGTGTTGCCTTGGATCAAAGCTCTGAGGCGCAGAGTTCAGAGTCCAACGTGATTTCCTTTTTTTGGTTGGAGGCCATCGCAAGTAGTACTAGTAGGAGCGATCGGACGCTACTAGGGGCTCCTGGCCTTACTACTAGGATCGCTACTAGGAGCAAGGATGCTACTAGGTTGGAGGCCATCGCTAGTATGTTGGAGGGCGGGTAGAATCGGCATTGGCCGAAGTATTCAGACCCTGCGGCTGCGGGTTCTTCTGTGCAAACCCAAATCCAATCCCCAATAGGAACAACCCCCCGATGCCATAAACTTCTTGAAGCCATTGGAAAATCCTGAGGATTCGGCCCAGCTGACCTCATCCTTTTCTGTGAATTGTGAGAAACAACCAGACACCGCAGCACAGCCGTTCTTGACGAGAGTGAGGGAGTGAGAGCTCCCAGCCGTTCGAAGTGTCCAACTCTTCGGTTCCGGTTCGCCCTTCACGGCGCTCTTTGGGTCAACAACCACGGAGCATTTTCGTCTGATTCGGTGCACTCTTCAGCAAAGCAACGAATCATTATTTCATCGTCTTGGGCAAAGTCAGCACCTTGTGATTTTCAGTGCAATTGATTGTACAATTTCATATCCTACACGGGTTGATACAATACAATCAATCTTCATGCCAGAGGGCACAATCCAATCAAGCACTTAGTGTTCCTACGATCATAAGTGCCCTTGTCTTGGCACTGCCCCTTTTCGCAGCAGTGAGGAAATCCTCAGTTTAAAATCTGTTCACATGAACATTTGTTCAAGGACAGGATTCTTGGTATGGAGGGGTTCAAGGACAGCCTTGACCTCACACCAGTCGCATCACTGGGGAGACCTTGGATCCTTCTGGCCAGGAAGACAAACAGACACCACACCAACCTTCCATGAGCAAAAAGCACATATGTGCACATATAAAGAAACATATATATATATAGATAAACATACTATATTTCTTCCATGAGCACAATGAGCACTGTTCCAGTCTTTAGCCGCCCACTCGGCTTGTTTCAGGCCAATCGCTTCGCCAGCTCGGTCATGGTGCAGTACTGGTCCTCCTCAGCCAGGGCGTGGCCGCTCGACATGAGTAAGGGGTTCGGGGTTTTCTTCTGAACCGCCGAGAGAGGGAGAGACAGAGAGAGAGAGAGAGAGAGGGAGGGAGGGAGGGAGGGAGGGAGGGAGGGAGGGAGAGAGACGGAGGGAGGCAGGGGCTCTTTATAGCTTCGGGGGAAGTGGATGACTAGGACTTGAACTTGTCTTAGAGCTTGATGATTCTACGACATGTGCCAACCAAGAGCTAGGGAATCTTGTTAAAAGGAATGCCTGCTGTTCCTCCTAAACACCAAGGACGTTGGAATCGATATTCGTCTCTTTCCAGCTGGACCCCTCAATCCACCGCGTCCACCATTCATCCCAATCGACCACCGCGTCCGGACCGGACTTCTCCGAGGCAAGATCACACCGAGATGTCGGGTCTCACGGGCGGCGCTGCCCAGCTGCGGATCCCCGAGGTGGGCACTGGGCACACCGGGTACGCCGGTCGCGTGGAGGGTGGATTTGGGGTCTGATGGGTAGGTTGTTGGGGTCAGTTAGAAAGGAGGGAAATTGTGTAAGAGGTGTGTGTTTGTGTGTCTTTTTTTATGTTTCTCTTTGGATGGGTGGTGGCCTTTTGGGGAAACATGAATCTTTTCGTGATTGGAGCACGGTCTTCGTTGGATTCGTTGGATTCGATGCTTTTGTTCTTCTGTTCGTCACCCGGATCGGTGCTCGCCCAGCACACCGAAGTGGGAGCATAGCGCAGCCAGCAGACTGGAGTTGGACGAGGTTTTCGTTTAATCTCATATAGATGCAGTTGAGAAGCAGGGCTTTAAGCCAGCTCAACTGGTTCTTGTATCACTTTTATCCCAAAGGAGACTCAGCATCTACATTCTTGGATCATTCGCATGAGGTATGAGGACCAAGACCCAGGAGTTCCCGGTCATTGTGATTACCCAAAGGCTGCTTCAGCATGTTATTCTCAAAGGTGCTGAGGCTGGTATTCTCCTCTTCATGGTTCGTTCCGCATCATGTTTCACGAGGGCCCAAGGGCAGCGTTGGCAGGTCCCTTTGGCACGGTGATTGGACTGCAGAGCCTGGCAAAGGAGAAGGCGGAGGCGGCAAGTTCGCGCGGAGCGAAGGCGAGGGCGAGATTCTGGCCGGCCTTGCTTAGGGGTGTCTGCGGTGGAGGCCATTCCTCATAGCAAGAAAAGAACGTTCAAAGGGAACCTAATAGCAAAGGCCTCCACCTCCACCCTATTAGCGATGGCCTCCAACCTACTAGCGATGGCCTTCAACCTAGAAGTGATGGCCTCCTTCCAATGGAGAATTGTTTTGCGGATCCCACAGATTCCTTGACGGGTCTGACATTTTTGGGCTTGCTAGGGAGTGCTTCGGGAAACCCTACAGAGTTTGCTACTAGTAGCTCCTGGCACTACTACTAGGAACAAGAAGCTACTAGTAACAAAGGGCATCGCTACTAGGAGCAAGGGCGCTACTAGTAGCTCCTGGCAAGACAAGCTGGATTTCAGATCACAAATGGGTTAAATCTGAATTCGAGCCTTTTTATCTGACTGTTATTGCCTGACTTCCCTGTAGCTTGCATTTGGTTTCTAGTGCGGTGTCCTTCCTTTGAATTGAAATCATGTTCTTTTTATTATCCTAGGGCTCACATTCAAGTTTAATCTGATCCCAAATGGGCCATAATTTGAATTCCAGCGCAGTGGCAGTATCAGTGTTGAGACAAGCTTAGATTCAAGTTTGAGCCACAGTGGCTTTGTCAGGGAGGAGCTTAGATTTGAATTTGAGGCGTGCTGGCTATATCAATACAAGACTAGATTCAATTCTAGGCCTCAGTGTTTGGCCTCCAGCCCCAGCCCGTGGATCTCCTAGAGATTCTGGTCATGCTGTATCGCAGCAGCAGCAGCAGCAGCAGCGGCAGCAGCAGCCATTACGAAGCCACTGCTAGAACTTCAAAGGAATCAGCGCAAACACCGGTGCGTGTGAAGCAAGAGAAGTGAAGCAGTTTGAGCGCTAGAAAACACATTGGGACGCGGTGATAGGCATGAAGGTGAGACGATATCTAATCCAAATTGTATCCACTGATGTGTCTGGGCTGCAAGCAGTGTCAGGCTTAAATCTTTGTTTGAGCCATCAGTAGTGAGTGGATGGGAACCAACCATAAAACGAGGTTGAGTCCAAATTTCAGCCTTTCCTGAATCCAAGAGTCATCCCATCCCTACCACCTGGCCTTCCTACAATCTTTCCATGTGGTTGGCTATGATGGTGAACCCAACATGGGCCTTGCCTGTTTCTTGGCCTGACGCATGAGTATGCCGACTTCAGCGTCTAATGGAAACTACAACGTCATTTGGCTGTTCAACTGCTACTATGCTCGCGGAAGCAGTTGACAGGAATGCAGTAAGGTTTCGGTTCGGTTGGAATCGGTTTGAACGTTTAATAGAAACTTCGAATCGGTTCGGTTGGGTTGAAGAATCATTTTTTCTTGCATTTTCGGTCCGGTTCGCGGTTCGCTTCGGTTCTGGAAGGCATAAGTTAACCTATGAGACAAGACAAGACATAGATAGAACAAACAAGACCAGAGAAGACAAAACAAGGCATGATATCACAGGACATATCATAACAGACCAAAGCAAAAGAGAAGACCTTCAATCAAAGGCCCTAGGGTGAGTGAGCCGTATTGAAAAATGGCGTTCCGTTCCACTCCTTTTCGTGGCTTTGCTGTCCAATATGCTTTTAGACCGCCAGGAAAAAGCATATTCACAAACAACGCTTCCCACGGCTCAGAGGCGGTCTTCACTTTCTTGTTGTCGACACGATGTCCCTCATGGTGCCTTCGCACCGGTTGCCTGAGCAGCTGCGCTTGGCTTTGCGTGGGGCTGTTCCTGTTCAGCCCTGCAGCAGTGCAACCGCACGAGGCAGCAGAGCGGGGCCGCGGCAGACCTCGTAAGGGCGCAGCTGTGGTTGTGCAGGGCACAGGCAAAAGTGGCCAGTGTCGTCGAATGTGCTTTTTCTGTCTGATGCAAATGCATGTATGGCTGCCTAAAGGCGTTTATGATGGGATGCCTTTTGTTCTGAGCGCTTGGTTCCGTAAATGCTTTTTGCCAATCTGAAAAATGCATGTTGGAGTTGCCTGGCGCACGGCGTAGGCAGACCAGCAGATTTAATACTTGCAGAGCCGCCCTGACGTTGCTTGTTTGACGAAGGCTTCCATGTGTCGCTTGACCAAAGAGATCTTGCAGACCGTCGGCAAGGAGCGCAACAGTCATGTTGACCCATGGCTTCCTCGCAAGCAACAGGAAAACTCCTTGCCTGAGCTCAAGATCTCAACGGCAGCTCTAGCCGTCCTCTCTCATGCCGCTGATGCCGCTGAAGCACACGTGGTTCAGAGGCTGTTGCAGGGAAATGTGCTCGCCACTTTTTGCGGGAAGAAGACTTTGATTGAGAAAGACCTTCAAACTCTGCAGACGATGGAGGAGGTTGCGGCTGGTTTCTGTGACAAAAATGCAGCCCACGCGTTGCTGAGGTTCTGTTTCTTGGAAAAACAAATATGCGTTTGCACTCCACCAAAAAATGCATATTCCTATGTTGGCCACGCTAGTCTCACTTGCAGAGCAAATTGTCTCAATATGCGTTTGTTGCGTTCCACCCATAAAAGCATTTACCATCCCTGACAGGAATCGTCGCCCAAATGTTGCCGACATGCCCCACGAGCTCGACAGGAGTGAGCTGCGCGTTGCGCTCCAGTTCTGCGCCGTTCTGGAGCCTTTTCGCTTGGCCACCAAACTCTTGGAAGGGGATGACCAAGCGCCAGCTTCTCTTTACCTCCCGGTCTTCCACAAGTGCGTGGAGACCCTACCGTCAGATGCATGGCCAGGGCTGCAAAGCTCGCGAGTTGGAGGCGCTACCAAAGCACTTGCTTCGCTTCTTGCACCAAGACTTGAGCAAAGTCAGAGAGAAGCACTTTCAAGGAACTACTGGAGAGGCATGGCTTCTTGCAGCAGCTATGTTGACCCTCGATTTCGTGGCCACACCATGTGGGAGAAATTGAATAAGAAGGAAGTGAAGGACATGATTTGCAAATGGTTGTGGAATCACACGAAAAGTGCCCAGAACTTCGGGAAAGATTGAAGAAAGCAGCGGAGGGTGCTATGAACCACAAGCTTGAGACCTTGTTGCGCCCGGAGCCAAAGAAGACAAGAGGAAGAGGTCGTGGAAGGGGAGCAGGGCGGCAAGAGAAACCTAAACCTACCAGTGAAGCTATTTTGCGAGACGCTGCCTGCTCAGCCGCATCAGGTCCTGTAGTGAGGCTGCAGCCTGGGCCTCGCGCACTCAAAGAGCGCACTAGTGCTGAAGACTGGCTGTTTGGGCCACACCCTGACCGGGGGTCGTGCCCTTGAGGTGGCTGTGCTCGATGACCTGAAGGCAGTCCCTGCAGCAGCGCTTTCAGCATTTTTTCTTCCCGCGTCGTCCTTCATCGTCTTTCGGGGCAAAATGCGTTTTCCACTGTCCCCAAGAAGCATTTTCAAACGAGAGCCACTGATGACACCACCTTCCCAAAAGGCTTTTTGAAACAAAAAGCATATTTATAGTTGACTCACTGACAGCAATGTTCGCAAGCAAGTGGAAGCTGAGATGACACACTATGAGCGCGTGAATTTCACAGGAGAAGGCCAGTTTGCGCAAGCAGCTCTTGGAGTGCCTGGCCCCAGCGCAGCTTTGGAACGGCTTTTCTCCAAAGCCGGTTTGTTCATCACCAGGCGCCGTCCGCGTCTGAAGCCGGGCCGCGTCAGTGACATGTTGTTTGGGCACGCCAATGTGCAAATGCTTCTGTGACCTCGGACACTCCTCGAAAAAACGTTGCTGATCTCGGAGCAGGGCGGAATTCCGGTTCGTATTTTGTTCCGGTTCGCTTGTGTTGGGAAAATTGACGGTTGTGATGATTCGGTTGATGAAAATTTTCGGTGCTTGACATTCGCGAGGTTTCGGTTCCGAACGGACGGTTCCGAATCGATTCGGGACCCTTCCTGGAATAGCAAGAATCAACTCAGACGCTGCGGGTAGAAGCATCATGAAACATTGTCTGGGTGAGCAAGAGTGCCAGAGACCCTTCTGAGAGTAATCAGTTGGCTGGAGGCTCTCACCAAACTCGAAGCACCAGTTGGAAGGCTGGGGCTGGCAACTTCTTTGGGCATCACCTTGGAGCCACCCACGCAACTAGACTTCGTTTGCTTTAACTTGTGTATTTACTTGCCACTTGCGAACTCGAGATGTGATAGATCAAACTGAAGTGGGCACTTAAGAGATGATGTTTTTCAGCGTTGTTTGTTCATGTTTCCACTTTTTGCCCCTCCGCTCTTTTTCACGAGTTTCTCCGCTCGTGCACATCTGGTCACTCTAATGGTCTCGTCACTGCGCCAACGTGTCACGCGGTCAGGCGGCCACCGGCAGAACCCAAAGCCCAAAGCCGAGCACCAACTCCAGTCGTCCACGGCCGCTGTCGCGACGCTGCGCGAAAAGCAGGGCATTTTCATGCGGTCGCCGAGTTTCCACTGACGCACCCTAGTAACAAGACGCTACTAGGAACAAAGGGCATCGCTACTAGGAGCAAGGACGCTACTAGTAGCTCCTGGCCTTACTACTAGTAACAAGGACGCTCCTATTTATACGCTTGGATCGAGAAAAGGACAATGTTTTTTTGTTTTTCTCGGTCCTTTATTCGACCAAGTGTTCAAGGAAACCGCAAGTCTTCGGTCGGTGTTCAGTTTCTAATCCTGGGCCGTTTGTGAGGTTTTTGCTGGGTTTTTCTTGTGGTTCGTTACTGACAGGTGAGAAAACCAGAAAAATTCAGCAGGTCAGAAGGTTGTCTTCTTCAACAGTTTTTGACCAGCTGAGTGCGTTCTTTTCCCAGCCGAAGTGCGCTTGTCAGAAGTCACAGCACTGGATACCCAAACTTCAACGACGCACACGTGGAGGATAGTGCATCGAGAGCGTGAGATTCCACAATTCATTTCGTGGCTCCCAAGTGGAAAACTACCAGGAGCAAAGGGCATCGCTACTAG